GCTGTAAATACATTTATTTATTCATAATATTAGCTCAGTACTTCAGGAATTATTTGAGGTATTTGGACTTTTCATGTATTTTTGCACTATTGCATTGTATTTTGTGTGTTGTGTGTGTTTTTAATGGTGCTGTGCCGTGTGTGTACTTTTGCTTTCAGTCAATCAATCCATCTGTTAATTTTGATACCATTTGCTCCGCTACACGTCACGTTGTTCTTTACGAGCTACTTTGCTGATTTAGATTTTTAAATAATTATTATTAATCAGCTGACAAAATATGATGTGTTGTTTTTGATTACATCACTGGTTTAATCTAAATTGAATGGCACTCAGGAGAACAATATGGTGTCTCCGCTGAGGCCTGTTAAATTCAACCAAGATGCACCAAATTGCAGATACTCATAGAAAAATGACCTGTGCATTTACATGACTACATCTGCAACAATAGCAATAATGCATATAATGATAACATATGTATCGTCCCTCTTTCATTTCCACCTGTAGAGAAAAGCTTGTTTCGTCTCCTCAAATCTGTCTGCCTCATTCACGCTGGGGAAACGACGCGAGGATCTCTCCAGTCTCTGGACTTGTTGCCTGCAGGGCCGGAGGTTTACTGAAACACTGTGCTGCTCCGGTCATGTGAGAACCCTCTGGTGAGTTTGGGCACCGGCCAACTCCAGTGTCAGCAAGGGTCAAGCCAGCCGCAGTGACCTCACACGGCCTGCATCCTCCGCGCCTAAAGCTAAAACCAAACTCGGCTTTGGCACAGGTGGTGAATTCAGATCAAATCCAGGTTTGTACCGGTGCCATGTGCGACATCTGCCATCCACACCACACTCCCTCTAATCCCTCGGAGTGATATTAAGTTGTTTTTTTTTAAACCTTGTAGCAGATACATGTGGCAATAAAAGAGCATGCATTTGCAACAGCGGTGATTCGAGTACCCGCACTGTGTTTTCCAAGGAAACCTAGATGGAGCAGTCCAGGAGGGCTCCCCCCTTTGCCCTGGGGAGGTCACAGTGATCTCCCACGCCGCTCTGCTTTCGGAGCACCTACGACAGTTTGCACGCAACAATTTGCTGCAGCCCTTTTATCCCAAACACCTTTCAGCATCATGAGTGGGATCATGTGTAGTGCAGCTGGTCCCAGCAGGAATCATACCCTCAACTCTGGCACAGTTTTAGCCACGGAGCTATGCAGGACCACCTGTCTGTGACTCTGTTACTGTAAATGAGAACTAACCAAAAAGTCGTTTACGTTCATTGGCAGTATATCTCTGTCCATGCATGCTGTGTTTAATTAAAACTCTTCCCAATAACAAAAGCTCCAAGGGACTGACTTCTGAGGAAATGTGATTTCCTGTCATCATTAATTGGTAGATTGAGAAGGTCATTATCAACATCATATGTTCTGGAGCTTTTCATCATATCACATGACCTTCCTCTGCAGATGAAGTCATTTCCACATGTCACGAGATTTCTTAATAAGGCTACGTTAGCTTACAGGCTTTTCCACGGGAGACATTTTGACAAAATAAATTGAATTTAGCTCAGGTAGCACGCAGCGTATTTTTCTGTTTTGAGCAAGCTATTTGTCTTTGCGCTAAGCTAGGCTAGAAATGTCTTCAGTTTGTTTATCTTTTGGACTCAAAGGGGACATTTGAGTGAATTTATGAACCAATCGTCTTGTAGTTGCAGTAACTTTATTGACACAAGAGGTCATATCAGTTTCCCTCTTGCATTCGCTGCCTGTCCCACTCTTTCACCTCCTTAACCCCTTGTTACGGAAAAAGTGGAGAGCATTGTGACAGCCGGAATACCAGGCTCCAATCTCTCTCACAATGACAGCTAGCTACCAGTCGAGCCGACGGGCAACCCAACTCTTCCCCGGGGAAATATCAGCTGCTTTTCAAAGGAAGCCTGGTTCCGCTAACATCCGCTAACTGGCGCGGGACCAGACAAACGCTCGAAGAGCCCCCCCCCCCCGGACCTCTCATCTGCGAATTTGCATAGCCTTCAACCTTTTGCCCTGTTAACCAGGCAGAAATCTGAAATATCACTCCAGAAATTCTTCAGAATCCTACTCTGTTGATTCTTATCCACCATCAGTGTAAACACCCCATCATTGGTCAACATATGAAAATTGGGACTTTCCGATGAGTAGATTTTCAGCTTGTGGTGCGTTTGAGGCAACAGGCCGGTTTGTGATAATTTCAGGAGAATTCAGACCCTTTTTTAGCTGCAGAAAAAATAAAGTTTGTGATACAGAAGTGAGAACAAACGTTGTGTTTGTGCGTCATTCCCAGCGTTTTCAGATCACGTCGTAAATGTGTTTAATGTGCACCGGTGCTTTGGACAATGATTGACGTCAGTTGTCTGGCTCTGCAGACACACAGGAGGGAGTTGAGCCGCTGGAAATATGGATTTGATACTTGATCTTTAAGTTTCATAGCAGGGGAATGTAAAAACAATTAATCTGTCTAACTGTGGTAAAAAGAAATCCTGTGATAACACTCAAATATTGAACCCATAGTTTTTTTTCAAGTTTTAAAGATTGAAGCTCTCCAGTATATTAACCTGACAGGAAATATGGTAAATATGTTTAACATTTAAATAACTAATATTAAATAACAGTTAGGTTTTCAGAATAACAACAACACATTTTAATTGACATTCATTTGCATGAATCCAAATTTATCTAGACACTTTATTTTCTCAATTTATTTATTTAATTATTTTTGGTTTATTTCCTCTCATTTATTTGTATTATTACTATCATACTATCTTTCTCTTCTCCTGATTGACAGTTACCATGGCACAGCGTCCTCTGCTGGTCTAAATTCAGCCCTACACGTAAACCCTGTGCTGCCATTGTACTTGCAACAAAGGAGCAGAGCCAACAAAGCAGAAAGACACACACAGGAAACACAAAGGAAAGCATGCTTCCCTTTGTCGCTGACTCGGGCTGTGATTTCACAACAAGCACTGTTGCCACACTGTGTTGTTGACATTGCAATTTAAACACACACACACACACACACACACACACACACACACATTATGTACACAAATGAGCTAATTACTAAAACACACTCACAAATATTAGTACATGGACTTTTTTGTTTGTGATACTGAATGCACATCTTTGACTTTTTGATTTACAGTCCATGGTGCATACTCAAGTATATTTTTCTGGCAGTATCAGTATGTGTTATAGATATTTACTGCATTTATATATATTTTTTTACCATCAACCATCGATCAGGAACTGCAGATTAAAACAAGCCTGCAAAATGATGACAATTTATTTGTTGATCAGTTAATTAGTTGACCTCGAGTATTAGTTAATTAGTTAGTTAATTAATAAGTATTGTCCCTGTTCAATAGATCAAGTGTGGAAGTGCCGGTAAGAAACCATCAGCTTGTAACCAGTGAATTAAACATCTGCAGAAAACATTTTATAATTTAAACTTTGTTTTGGGAATGTGGAGCTACCAGGGTTTAAACACACTGAACAAGTTAAGTTGTTTATCCTCAGTGTTTCCTTATTTTGATATCGCTCATGTTTTAGTTTATAGATTTAGTTTTGCCTTAAGATTGTTTTAAAAATCATTTTTGTGTTTTCTCAGCAGATCATCTGTCTCCTTCCTTCATGATATTGTAACTTTTATTGCCTTTCTGCTGTAGTTAAGTATATTTAAGTATTTTATTAGCTCTGTTGAAAATTTGAATGTGAGGCCGAAGAGTTCAAGATTAAATTCTCATAGAACAAAACAGAAACAGAAATGTTTGGTTAAGACGAAGTTAAAAGGTCAGAATTCATCTGTTGCTGCAAAAAACTTTAATTAAAACCCAACAACCCTTTAATTATTATAGAGGGTTGAATGAAACATCTGTGTACAGATGTGTAGTCACAGTGCAACCTGAGAGTCGGGGTTCCCAAAAGGGGTCGCAACATGAATTTGAGGGGTCGTAAAATCATCGGATGAATAAGACAGAATCCAAAACCTGTTTCTCCGCAACAATATTATGTTTTATGATGTTGAAAATGATTTAAGTGTAATAGTTTGAGATGTAAAAAAAATAATTTTGGTTGAATTACACATTTAAAATGACAGACTTGTTAAATCAGATTATATGTCACGTTTCGTTGGAACTCCTACTCAGATGAGAGTCCGTTATCTTACACAGTGAAAGAGTGTGGTAAGCTCCCTGTCAGTTTAAGGATTTTAAATGGACACACACACACACACACACACACACACACACACACACACACACACACACAGGATCAGTAAGGATAATCCTGCAGGGTTTCCAGGTTGCCATCTGTAGTTAGAATAATTCTGAGATTATTTTGTATCTGACCACTAGAAGACGCTGTGGAGTTGTTTCAAAATCAGATCCGCATTAAAAAGTTGGAGGTTATAGGAGAGACCTTTAATGTCAAACTTTAATCTTTTAATCATTTTTCTATTTAAGGAAAGACAAAAACCTTGAAACAGAGCTACAACTACACAAAAGTAATTGAATTCGCCTTCACAGCTGAACTACACAAGACTGTCACATAAAAATAACAACAAATGATCCAATTCGTTCTTATTGAAACAGTGTAAATTAATTCAATTTGCCAAAGTTTTCCAAAAGTTTGGAATCAGGTTTGTTTGAATCTCCAGTGACAGATCAATTAAGACTAAATGTTTATATCATCATCATATAATTTTCCGATAAATGTATTTGTAATAAATGAAATATTGTGTGACTCTGATCCAATAAACTAATATTCATGGCTGGAGGATGGAGAGCAGAGTCAAAGTGGTGAAAGCAAGAGATTGTAATTTTTCCTCCTTTACCTCTCACCTCTCCTTCTCTCCTTAGTTTGTCTCCTTCCTCTCTCCTTTCCTCCCCTCACCTCCTTGTGCCCCCCCTCCCCAGACGGAGGAACAGGGTAGTGAAGGAGGAGGAAATGAACAGAAGATTAGCGGCGTTCCTCTGCTGCTGACGGGCAGTTTCTGCAGATCCCTGCTTTGCTGAGTCACCGCCTCTAAACATAGCTACAGACAGGACTCGTCAATTCAACACACACACACACACACACACATGGTTAATCTGAACTAACACGTCCACTCCCCTCTCCTGCTGCTTTAACTCTTCTCAGCAGATCATCTCTGTCAGAGTTTGTCAGAACGATTCACCATGAAAGTACCGAGGTAAAGTTACGTGTTGGGTCCTGTTCATGTGAACACGTGACCCACGGGTCAGTCAGTGGTGAGACATCATGACATTGTCCTCGTCTTCGGCTGCGTTGACCTGAGTCACGACGCGGACGTGAGAGATCTTCTTCACCGCCTTGTGAAACACCTGCTTCACATCCATCGACTCTTTTGCCGCGATGCTGATTTGGAGAGATATGGAGGAGAAGGGTGAAGAGGAACCCAACATTAACACAAGATGGAGAAGGACAGCTGCCGCCCAACATAATAAAGATAATAATCATTCAGCAGAGAGCTTAAACTGGCATTTTGAGTGATTCACTTTCTTCATCTATCTTGTGTCTGTTCAGTGTGAAGCTAGTGCCTGAATAAAAATGTTAAAGTTAATGATATAAAGATGGACGACACGACATCTCCCTAAACGTAAAGCCAAAACAGCTTGATTACCCCCTGGTGGTGGTTGGCTGCAGTATAGGTCATAAACCCGCCACCCCCATGTTAGCAAATGGGCCAAGGTAAAACAAAAGTTATGTTGAAGTTAAATTATTTTTTTTACAAAAATAGTATCTGTCAGTTCTTATCATATTTATATTGATTGAATGCATGTACGTGGGACCTCGTGGCTCCAAAGTCATTGGCACGCTTCATTTTTGCACAGAGGGAGGAAATGGATTAATCAAATTTTCACTTCTGTTGGTTTTTAGCATATGTCACAAAATCAAAAGGCTGAAATCTTAAAGCAGGTTTTCGAACGACAGCAGCACCACGGCGAGGAGTCAACATTCTTAAACATCTTATCTTAAAAAAAACTTGTAAAGCAGAAGAACTGAGTTTTGTAAGTGACAAACAATTGGTGACCCCCAGACCTAATATCTGAACGAGTCATGTTCAAGATAAACTACGTTATACATTTTTTCAAATGCATAACATTACCTCAGTTTTTCTCTTTTGCAAGTTGTTCCTGTTGCAGTTTCTCGGCTTTCCGTTTCTTGTACTGGGCTATCTCGGCCATCTGCAGCCCGTGAGCCATTTGCCTGTTGGGACGAAGTAAACAGCGTAAACACAGCATGCACTCACATACACGAAACGCCATGTTGCCATGTTCAAGATGCTCATGTTTAACCAAATCCACCACTAAATTTAATGGGTTCTCTATGTGTTCTGTTACTGCTCTTAAAAGACTGGGCTCAATGATGAAGAACATGTTCTCGTCTGACATTTATAGAGCTGCTCATATCTTATTATCAGCTTCTGTAAGGATAAGAAAACTACTAACGAGACTCAATCCAGCGAATAGAATTTGAAATACTTTTGAGTTAAAGCGACTCAGAGCCGTGAGCAGGAAACTGAGACAAAAGGCTAAAAAATAAGGAAAAGGGATGAGAAGGAAGGAAAGTCATTTCTACCCAGTTTTGAGTTCTGGAGGAACAGGTAGAGGTTTGGTAAATCCATCTCTCCCCACGAGCCAGAAGGTCTCCTCCACACCTTTCCCCTGAGAAGAAAGATAAAGAACGGTGTTGAGATGCTGCATTCTGCTGAAATCTTGTCCCTGATAACAAGTTGTACCTTGACTTCTGTCCGGCCTCTTAATTCCCACTTGTAGCCGAGTTTTAGATCCTGCAGGACCTTCACGGTGCTCTCGTGGACATGGATCCTGTAGGCTGTAGTGAAGAAGCAAGTAATCACTGCCTGGTTATTTTACACAGAAACCTTCAGTCCTGTGTTTTTGTCGGTCTGTGACTTACGCATCCCGCTGGACTCCATTCGAGAGGCAGTGTTTACGGTGTCTCCAAACAGACAGTAGCGAGGCATAGTCAGACCCACCACACCTGCTACACAGGGACCTACAACACCAACCACAACAGTTTCGTGAAAGGGTTTGGATTCAAGGAATAAATGAAAGTTAGCTAACGTCTAACACTCACCTGTGTGCAGTCCTATTCGTATCCTGACAGGAACATCAGGCATGTGTCTCATTTTGAAGGTTCCCACCGCGCTCAGGATGTCAAGAGCCATGTTTGCTATTTCGGCAGCGTGTCGGTTGCCGTTAGGGACCGGAAGTCCAGATGCCACCATGTAAGCATCACCAATCGTCTCCACCTGAAGAACATCACAAAACAATTATCAATCAAGGGATTTAAAGAGATTTGATGGTTTGTGACAACAGAGCTGAATGGAAGGTTGCGGTTGAGCCCACCTTGTAGACGTCATGGTTTCCTATGATGGCGTCGAAGATGGTGTAGAGGTCGTTGAGCAGGTCGACCACCTCGATGGGTTCGCTGTTGGCTGAGATGGTGGTGAAACCGACAATGTCGCTGAAATAAAGCGTCACGTGATCAAAATGCTCTGGTTCGACTGTGCCGCCCACTTTCAAAGCTTCTGCCACAGATCTGAAGGAAGACGAAGAACACAAGTTTAAAATGTAGTTTAGCTTAATTTTTTGTGGCTAGGTTTTGTTGACAGCTACTCTATGTATGTTTGTGAAATTTTGCTAGAATCACTCCTGCCCCCTGCAGGATAAATTGTAATGACTTTGTGTTATGTACGATTGTTTCAGGTTAACTCACGGAGGCAGCATCTGTGTCAGCAGCTTCTCCGTCTTCTGCTTCTCGATTTCCAGCTCCTCCGTTCTCTCTCTGATCAGCTCCTCCAGGTTAGACGAATACTGCTCCAGCATCCTCAGCATAGAGTCAATGATGTTGGTCTTCTTCCCCTTGTTGATGTTTTTAAACTTAGATATGGGCAAGAAGGACAAGTCATAAGTAACGTTAAACTGAACTACAAGTATTTAACTCCCAAACAGCCATGACTCCTGCATTTAGTCCAAACATAACTCCAACCAAAATCTGTTGAAAATCAGCTTACAATGCATTGAGATGTAGACATTTTGCTCAACTACCTGGTCAAAGATCTCGTCAAATCTGGGCCTCTTCTCCGGCTGCTCGTTCCAGCACTGTTTCATCAGCTGGATGCACTCTAACGGAGCGTAGTCTGGACTGACCACCGGGCGGCACAGAGGAGGAGGCTTACAGAGCTTCTCGACGATGTCTGAAACACAGAGAAACATCAGCTGTTCATCATACGACCAGTGACTGAACTATTGTAGAAATTTAGCTGCAGGGACAAGTGCAAACATTTGCTCCACAGTGAAACATCACCCACTGCAATGACCCTCAGGTGTTACCAACTATTAACATGCTAATGTTAGCTCATCCTTTAGCATAACATTTGTTCTGACTTATACTCAAAGACAGAAACATTTTCAGTGTTAGGATACAGTTCACTCACCTGCAGCGGAGAGGTCCAGCATGCAGAACGGAGGCCCTCTGACCACCACCTCCTGCATGATGATGGCAAAGCTGAACACGTCACCGGTCAGAGTCCCGTGAAGCCCCGGCTGCCCACTCCTCAGGATCTCTGGAGCCGTCCACAGCAACTCTGGACCACACAGAACTGTATTACTTCGGTTCTGTTGTGGAAACTTACACAAATGATGTCTCCACTTGGACAAATTGAATTTGACCCTGATCTGTTCTCTCACCCTCTGCGGGGGGTTCGATGTAAGGGAACCTCTGAGACTCCAGGACCTCGTTATAACCGAAATCTGTGATCTTCAGGACAAAGCGGCCGTCCACCACACAGTTACCGGACTTCAGACGAGCGTGGGACACTCCGCGGTGGTGGAGGTACTTCATACCCTGAGAGGGACATCAAACAGGATGGATTCATACAACTGGTCAAGTAGCCTTTTGAACTTTGGAGAAAAGTTTTCCAATCTCATCCAGTGGTATAAATGTCGGAGGTGCATCGCCGTCTACTTTAAATCAACCTTAATGAGATCCAGCAGCAGAGAGGACTTGAACATCCAGTCCAGTTTCACGTCGTCGTTCAGCAGCAGGTCCTCCAAGCTTCCTCTGGAGCAGAACTCGGTCACGATGGCAAACACGCCACAGTCGTGAAAGAAGCCCAGGAAGAGATTGACGTTCTCGTGACGCATGTCCTTCATCTGCAAACTTTGTTGAATTAGTTCAAATTTTCAACCCCCCTCACGAATTCCACTCTGTTTCACAACAACATGACATACCAGTTCAAACACGTCGCTGGTTTTGGTGTTGATTCTGCTGAACGTCCCATTGGGGAGTCTCTTCAGCCAAGCCCAGTCACCCTGAAGGACAGAAACACAAATGAAACGCAAGAAGTTACAATCGGGAGCTGCTTCTTCTTGTGTTTTCAAGACACTGAATTAAACTGTTCAAATTGTTCAAACTTGACTCATCATTTTGGGCCATTATTCTTCTGTATTGATGAAATGAAACGACTTTAGGATGTTAAAAATACGATACATGTTAAACTGGCATCACCTCGTAAATGACAACATTGGAGTTCTCATAGGTGGCCGGGGTTATGGTGGAGACTGGTGAGGCGGCGCTGTGGTCCGACACGCTCCTCATGCCGCTGGCTCTGCTGTCGTCCAGACTCAGCTTCTGTGCAGACGTGAGTTCAGGGTGTGATGTTGTTTGTTTTTTTAATGCAACTGCAACACCAGCGTTACAAATCAACCAATCACCGGAGACAAGTAAAAGATGGACTTTAACGGAGGCTGACCTTGTTGCTAAGCGACGGGTTTATGAATGTGACATCTGCCAGAGTCAGTAGGATCTTGTTTGGACCCTTGACCAGTAGAATCTGATTGATGCGTCGCCTAGGCAACAAGAGAGCAGGAGGAGACGAACTGAAACAAACCAACAGTTGAAGGTGACTCAAACCACCTCAACACCGACACCCTCATAACTTTGTACCTGACGCAGCAAATTAACGCCACAGAGACGACAGAGAAGAAGATCGCCCCGAGAAACATCCAGATGGTCGTGAACAGATCCACACCTGCAACAGAACAAGAACATTTTAAAAAGGGAAGAAATAAAAACACAAATTGTAATCAGCGTTTCTAAGGACTTTGAATAAATAAAACTAAATACAAAATCCTCACCCCCCGAGCAGATGACTCCAGGAGTAAACCAGCAGGAGGAGTCTCTCCTGGGTCCGTAGCCTCGAGGGAAGTGGATGTCTCGACCCAGGAATCGCACCATCCCGACCTCCATGTCGATCCTGCCAACAGTCGATATGATCGTCATTTAAAGTTATTAATGCAACTGTAACTCCAAACGAAACCCTCAAACTGATCCATCACAGGACTCTCATCCCTGTATTACCTTTTATATATTTACTCAAATCACTCTTAACGTACCTGTACACTGGCTTCAGCTCCCAGGAGAGTCCGTCTGTGTCCAGTATGAGATATTCCAGCAGAGCTGCTCCAGAGTCGTTGGTTTTAATCGTGTGACTGAACCCCTGAAATGTTAAGAGGATTTATATGTTAATGTTTATTTTCACTCCAGCCACACTCCAGAATTTGTATGGGATTAAATTCAAAAGACACATTTCTCATTTTTCTTTTATTTTGCTTTCTCAGTACCTGAAAGGTCAGATTGTGGGTGTGTCTCGCCAAGTTGCCACCAGACATCCACTCCCCTGACTGCCGAACACGATGCACCGCATGAGCCATGAAGAGGACGGAACTGTAGATGGTCCCGAAGAGAGGAGACACCTGCAGGTCACAGAGTTCGGCTCAGACAGACTCACTAAAAGACGCACACATGATTCTTCTCCAGCTCCACGCATCACCTGCTGTGGCTTCAGCGTCCTCGCCACCTCCCCCGTCTCCATGGCCTCTCTGTAGGCCTCGTAGAACGACATCTGGGGTGAGTCGATGGTGACGGTCAGCACGGCGTCGTAGGCCCGCAGCAGCTTGCTGTTGCTCTTCAGAGCCGGGTAGGTGACGTTGCGGTATGGGAGGCTGTAGAGCAAGGTGTCGTAGGGCACAAAGACCAAGGAGCCGTCGATCATCTGCATGTCGTAGGCCGTCTCCAACAGGAGCTTCTGGACTGAGCCGCCGATCAGCGCCGAGTGCATGCACAGGATCACAACTAGGACAAGACAAGACATTGAGAATCTCCCCGAGATATCATGTGTTATTTCCTTGAAATCAAATAAAATCCAGACACCAGAGTAAATCCTCTGCTGTGATAATTCAGTGCCCACCTCGTATCTCGCTCATCTTGCGAACCTTGGCCAGAGTTCGTCTGATGCCGTGAGGTGTGTTCTCCATGAAAGTGACCAGTCGCACCGGCAGACCGTGGCTTCTCAACGAATCAGCGACCTGAAGGAGGACAGAGACAACACACACATGCTACCAGACGGAGTCCATGAACTCAATCAAGGAAACAGAGCGTTGGAATAATAACTCTAAATGTATAAAATTAAAAAGAGAGCCTGTCAACAGCAGTTTCTTTTCGTCAGTGTCAAATTCAAACCTTGGTGGCCGTCTCCATCCAGATGCCGTCTGAAGAGGAGATGATGCCGACGTGCGCCCACCTGAAGTAATGCATGATGTTGAGCAGCACCCACGTGGGCCTCGCCATGGAACGAGCAAAGGTCGGGTGGCTCCGAACGTCGTCCAGGTCATAGCCAACACAACCCCAAGGAAACAAAGCCTGAGGAAGAAAGAAAAGATCTAATCTGATCTGTCAAAGCAAGGAAAACACATATCTATCCACTGTTACTGTTCACACCTACTTTGTTCCAGCCTTTGCTCAGCATTGATGCAGCGTCACAGTAGCCGGGGTTGACCGGCCCAATGTACCCAGAGGCCTTGGTGTGGAAACCCATGAACGCCTCCAGCGCTCTTGACGTCTCGCATGGCTCCTGAAGAGAGAGCTCCAATAAGTCAATTCATCAAATGAGTCAAAGAACCAAGCAGTCAGCTCAGCAGCGTACCTGCAGCACAGTGAAATCAAACGTGGCAGCGTAGGACAGAGACGGGTCCCTGTTGATGCGGTTGACGGCGAGCTGCGCCGCCACGCTGGGAAGGGCCTTGGCGAACAGAGGGTCGCATCCCCACGGTCCCACCACGCCAACCTTATACCAGGCTGCCTGAGCCGGGTGGGGGAGCAAACACAGGGAGGCCAGGAGAACCAGGAGGCCAAGGAGGGATGGATGGAGTGGAGGAGGAGAGTTGCGTGGAGGTGAAGGTAAAGCGGCAGGTTTGTCTGGTGTCCGCCGCCATGGGTGAGGTGTCGAGATGAAAGTACGGCGCTGGTGTCGCATCTCCAGGCTCACGGCCTCCGGACCTCAGAGGAACCAGGAGGAGGAAGGTCTGAGGGTGACGATGCTGCGTCCCTGGAAAAACAAAGGATTTCGAGAAAACTTTTCAGCCGTGACAGATTCTGACTATTGTGTTAAGATGTATTATTTTCTCCTCAATGAGAAAAAGTCCAACGGAAGATAAATCAAGAAAAACTTTGAAAACTGAAACTCTTCCTGAACCTTCACAGTGCCAGTTGTTTCATCTCATAGACTGACGCTGGTCCGGCCTCCTGGATGGAGATTCTTTTCTTCCATCTGTTGGAGGCGGTGAACGTTTCAGTGGCTGCAGCTTCAGTCGTGTCAGAAACAGAGAGTCACTCACAGACACTGACAGCTGCGGTAAATCACACGCTCCTGCTTTTACCATCAAGATTCTCAGACTGAGGAATTTAACAGTCAGTATTTTAAAGCGCTGCTTTTTCAAGATCTGCACATGTGTTGCGTCACATTTCTAACCACACTCTTCTCTGGTATGCGTCTGTGGATGGTTTCTGATATTGTTGAATTTTCTCATATATATCAGAAATAAACGTATTTCCTCTGCATTGTTAATATCATGTTGTTGATTTTCCTACCATTCATCCATGAGGTGAACAAGTCTCGTCTCTGCTGCACCAAAGCGCCACATCGATGGTTTCATCTCTTTCCCTTTCGCTTGAATCCCTGAATGTCGTCCTCACATTCAGGAGCGGGCACAGGCTCATCCATTCATATAACACAGTGGAAGGAGTATCTCTGGAGGTGTGTGTGTGTGTGTG